ACCAGTGAGAGTTTATGATATGGCAGCAAATTTGTTTTGGGGGAACGGTGCATCTGTTCGGGAAGTTCCCGTGCCAACGCTATAATTCTTTATGGCAACAAAGCCTCACACGGCGCTTAAGGCTCGGCAACCTCCGTGCCAGGAATCTCCAACAGGATAATTCCATGACCTTGAAAATCTAGCAGATGTGTTTCACATCTGCCCAGGCTGGGAAAAAAAAACCTGACACTGTTGTGCAAAAAAAAAGAGGGTGGGAAAGGAGATCTCAAAAGAGGCCTGAAGGGACAGAAAGCAATAAGCATTCAATAGATACAGGATCTATAAACTTGTTCACCAACGAATTCGCCAAGAGGTGCAACTATGCTGCCTTACACGTATAAGAAGCTGCTTTCTCTCAGCTCACGTAGTTGATCTATCTACAGTAACTCAATAATGCCAGCAGGAGAGCTCAGTGGTTGGGACATGGACTGCTTAGCCAATGGTGGGGAGTTTTGATTCCCCTCTGAGCCTCCCAGGAGAACAGCCAGCCTGTGTAGCCTTGGGCAAGCTGCACAGTCCAAGGGTGCCTCCAGTGGACGGGAATGGTAATGCACCCCTGAGTATTCTCTACCTGGAAAACTCACCGTAAATCAGAATTGGCTTGAATGCACACGATTATTAGAACTTAATATTGTTTAATTTGACCGTCAGTGGCTCCCCAGGGAGTTAGAAAATGTTCAAACGTGCCACCTAAACCTTTTGCCCAGATGTGCTGGGGTGGGGCAGAGGCACACCACTTGATATTCCCCCTGCAAATCAGGGGAGAAACACCTGGAAAACTCACCGTAAATCAGAATTGGCTTGAATGCACACGATTATTAGAACTTAATATTGTTTAATTTGACCGTCAGTGGCTCCCCAGGGAGTTAGAAAATGTTCAAACGTGCCACCTAAACCTTTTGCCCAGATGTGCTGGGGTGGGGCAGAGGCACACCACTTGATATTCCCCCTGCAAATCAGGGGAGAAACGGTTTAGGTCAGAATTGACTTGAATGCACATGATTATTAGAACTTAATATTGTTTCATTTGACCGTCAGTGGTTCTCCAAGGAGTTAGAAAACATTCAAACGTGCCACCTAAACCTTTTACCCAGATATGCTGGGGTGGGGCAGAGGCACACCGCTTGATATTTCCCCTGCAAATCTGGGGAGAAACGGTTTAGGTCTCTGGCTGTGAAGTCAGAGGTTGTGAGTTCGATTCCCTGCCATGCCTCCTTGATGGGCGGTGGACATGATGATCCATAGGTTGTCCCTTCCAGCTCTTCAAGATCTCGGATTCCTCTTCTCTTCCTACCTCTTATGAGAGAGACCATGCTTTGGGGTGGCAGGACCCCAGATGAGAGGGTGGGTGTGGCCAGCCCCTCCCCACCCAAATGATAGGGGAATTAATTGCAGAGTGATGGCAGAGCAAAGCTGACAAAATTATCCACACCTTTCAGCTGTGCACAAATAAATCACCGAATTAGCATTTCGTTCAACACTTTCGACGCCTCTGTTTGGCCTCCCTCCCATCCCCTTTCTGCCTTCCTGACTTTTTTTTTCCTGTTTTGTCTGTGTGCCAATCTCGATAGACGCCCACCAGCCTTCCGGCCGTCTGAGAAGTTCCACAAACTCGGTTCAGCCAGGCCCCGTCTCAGAGGCTACACGGCACTCCAAACCTCTACCCCAGCAAGGGAGGATCAGCAAAAAAAATTCGTGACTGCCAAGCAGAGAATGCCAGTTCCTATTTTTTTCAGCAAAGCAGGTGCTCAGCACTTCCCAGCCCCACCTCTTCCAGTGGGTGCCCGCTCAGAGCCAGCACCCTGGCTTGCTCTGCCCCACCTCCTCCAGATGCGATCTCTGCTCGCCCCCCCACCAGAGAAGGCGGCTTTGGGAAGTGATGAATACATGCTGGGCTGAAAAAACAAATTGTCACGAATCATGGGTTCAGCAGTTCCTGCCCATCTCCACTACCAAGGGCTGTTTGCCCTCAGCTTTCATGGATGGGGGGGGCGCTCCTCCCCATGAAAAAGTGGATGGATCTGAAGAAATGGGGTGCCGTCCATGAAAGCTCATCTTCAGTGAAACACACAAGACTTGAAAGGGGTGAGAGAGCACTCTGAGGGTATGCTGCAAGAGAGGACCGATCAACAGAATGTTGGCGTTTTTACAACCTCGCATGCTGCCTTTTAGTAGGTGTGGCTGGGAGGGGCCTTTCTGGGCTGGGGTGACTGTCAATCTATCCAGCACTAACCAATCATTGCTTCCCGCCTCTGAATTCATAGAGAGGTTGAGGTACTCTGCTCTGAAGTTGCTACAGCCAGTAGACATTTTTCCAGGGCAGTTAATGGAGGGGGGGAAGCAGCTGGATGATAATTACCATATACTACAGCCAGTAGACATTTTTCCAGGGCAGCTAATGAGGGGGGGGGGAAAGCAGCTGGATGATAATTACCGTATTTTTTGCACCATAAGACACACTTTTTTCCCACAAAACAGGGGGGTGGAAAGTCTGTGTGTCTTATGGAGGGAAGAAAACAGATTATATTTTCCTGTTTTCTTCTCCTAAAAAATTGGTGCGTCTTATGGAAAGGTGTGTCTTATGGAGCGAAAAATATGGGTAAGTCCTTTTGGAAAGAGTATTAATGTGGGCCAGAAACTAAAGTCTCCCTACCTAAAATCTAATGTCTGCCCAATGCCGATTCCCTTCCAGATGCAGGAAATGTTAGCAGTGGCACTAATGCATTAATGGGAAATGGCTAAAAAAACCCCCTAGTTAAAGTGTTAGGAGAAAATTCTATGGCAAATTACTACTAAACTTATAAAATCGTTTTGCTGATTTGTTAGCAATTTGTGAGTCATGCATTTGTTTTGGGAATCAATCAAAATGGCTAAAACTGGCCCCAAAAGAGTACCTCTCAAATCATTCCCCAATTGTCACATTAAATGTATAGAACATGTTGCTCCCCAAAACTGGAATTCCATTAGCATTTGCCAGTCAGAACAGCGCATTATAAAATCACTACAAAAATGTGACTCAATTGGGACAGCCAATTCATTTTTAACTGATTATTTCCAAGTACTCCCTCCTTGCCTTCCATAGTACCACCGAGTTGCAGAATGATGCTGACCATGATACAGTCCAGCAAAACAAAACACAGTATTTTAAACTGGTTGCTGTTGTTATATGCCATCAAGATGTTTATGACTTATAGGCAACCCTATGAATGAGCCATCTCCAGATATTCTGTCTTCACCTGCCCTTCTCAACTCTTGTGAACTCAAACTTGTGGCTTCCTTTAGGCAGTTAGTCCATCTTGTATCTGGTCTTCCTCTTTTCCTGCTGCCTTCCATTTTTCCCAGCATTATTGTCCTTTCCAGGGAATCCTGCCTTCTCATGATGTGCCCAAAGGAGGACAGCATGAGCTTCAGGATTCTTTGCCTCCGGAGACAGATCAGGTTTGATTTTATCTAGCACTTACTTGTTTGATTTCTTCTGGCAGACCAAGGTATTTTAAATTGAGCCAAATGAATATTTGTGGAGATCATAAAACCAGAGTCCTATATGGCTGCAAGAGGGACGAAGGGTTATCTAGCCTGATTTTTTTGCAAGTTGAGGAAACCTTGCGTTAAGGCATCCAATACAGGCTTATTTCTGTGATGCACCCATAACATTTGTACAATATGATACCTCAAAGTTCAATATGAGTAAATTCCACTTTTAGGCCAAAAATCCATCTCCTTCATTTAGAAACATGGAAATTGGTTAACACATTTCAAAGTGCTCCATTTAGTACACTGATGCATTTCAAGCCTATATAAGTATATTTTTAACAGTGCCACCTTTTTCTTATTAGTTTAGGTCCTCCAGTCCCATTTGATACAGGTGTGAATGTCATCTTTAACACCGAAGCGAATGGGAAATGTTACCCATGTGCTGGCTTCGTGCTCGATTCTTCCTCAGCTCCCTCCACTTCAGGCTAGCGTAAGTGCTTGCAAACAGCCGGGTGGTAGGCATAGAGACCAGTGGGAATCAATCACCCTGCTGTTGTTCCAGCCCGGAATGCACAATCCTCTCTAGTTCTGCAAATCCCCATGAAACGAGGCTTTAAATTGCAACCCCAAACTCTGCAAGCAGCCAAAAATGCATGCTTGCAAGTCAGGGAACAGATCTATCTTAGAGATTTAAATGGGTTTAACAGTCCTGCTCGCTAGCTCTCTCTCTCTCTCTCTCTCTCTCTCTCTCTCTCTGCGCAGGGATCCCTCAGCATTGTGGTTCTGCAGGGGAAAGAAAGGAGGGAGACTCAGCGTCTCTCACAAAGACTTCTCAGCCTCCTTCTTGTTGTTGTTGTTTAGTCGTTAAGTCGTGTCCGACTCTTCGTGACCCCATGGACCAGAGCATGCCAGGCCCTCCTGTCTTCCACTGCCTCCCAGAGTTGGGTCAAATTCATGTTGGCCGCTTTGATGACTCTGTCTAACCATCTCATCCTCTGTTGTCCCCTTCTCCTCCTGCCTTCTTATTGAACAACAAATCCCAGGATGCTTTCTGGGAAACTTTGTAGGAATAGGGTCATGGCATGCATAGATCCTGCCCGGCTCAGGATCGGGTGCAGTGTTTGCAAACATGCATTAATCATCATCATCTCAGGAGTCACCACTGCCAGCCTTCCAAGATGTTAGGAAATCTGAAGAACCACTCCTGCAAAAGGCTCAGCTCCAAAACCCAGTTTACACAATGGTAGCTCTGCATTGTGGGCTCAGAATCCCACCCCTGATTGGATGAGAAAATTCAACGATGTCCTCTAATGCAGTGGTCCCCAACGTTGGGCCTCCAGATGTCCTTGGACTTCAACTCCCAGAAATCCTGGCCAGCAGAGGTGGTGGTAAAGGATTCTGGGAGTTGTCCAAGAACATCTGGAGGCCCAAGGTTGGGGATCACTGCTCTAATGCATTTGGTTGGCATGAATCAACATGAGGCTTACCTCTGTGATGATGAAAAAGTCGTCGCCTGGCTCCCCCTGAACGACAATCTTCTCCCCGTCTTCAAACTGGACTGGCTCCAGAGCATCTGCGACGGTCAGACGTTCCCACTTGTCCAGGGATTCTGGAATGCAAAAGAAGTGGGATTTCAGTACATCTGTTTCACGGATTCAGCATTTGCTTCCAAAAACCTTATGGGCCTTCTTTGCAAACAGCGTCTCCTCCTATTTCAAACCCAGAGCCTGTGGATGAGAGGAATCCATTCCGAACTAGAATTCCCAGCCAGAGAGATTCTGGGACTCATCCAAGGAAAAAACTTTCCTGAGCTATGACCCTCTTTAAAAGGATGGTTAGTTCTGGACCATCTTCCTGTGCCTATAAAACACACGGTATAAGATCAAAGACTCTTCCAACATCCCTTGTTCTGTGCCATCAGGTCGGAACTGACTTACAGGGTCTTTCTAAATAAATGAGCTGTACAAGGAGTGGTTTTGCCAATTCCACATTCCCAGCGAGCTTTCCAAGTGCCCATATTAGAAATTATCAGAGAGAGGGGGTCCCTGTATACACACACAGCCCATAATACGCAAAGGAGGGAAATATAACTCCATCAGTGGAGTTTGTGCTTCCGTCCACCTGCTTCTCGTCCCCCTTTACTATGAAAAGGTGATGGAGACAATAAGGTGGACATTTTGCTACTGGAGCCTTCATATGAGCCTGGATTACCTCACAGGGCTGTCGTTTGAATAAAGTGAGGAGAAAGAGGCATGGCAGAGGATGTCGTCGCAGTGATCCATTTTTGTAACCACTTCACAACAAGTCTGTGTAATATTGTGGCTCGTGTATTGAATGGAGAACTGGGAAATCTGGGTTTTAGAGTCCAGGGAGACACGAAACTCATAGGACACCCACACCCCCACACCCGGGATGCTTACTCAACCTGACCTACAGTAACGCACAGGGATGTTGTGACATCAGGCAGGAAGCCCCGTGGGCTTCCTGACTTCACTGGAGGAACATGGCGCTGTGCATATTAGGAATAAACAATATTTTTTAAAAAAACACACACCCAAAATGGAGACCTTGCTGAGAAATTCTTCATACATCTTGCGTTTCCTCAGCGTGCTGCCCTGAGGAGGGAACAGAAAGGACAGCAAATTAGGATGAACTGCCTCACAAGATCAGGTTGTACAATCATCCTGCCTAATAAGCTGGTGATGAACCTCCAGAATGTGCTTCTTTAAGGAAGTGGCTCTCCCCCCCCCCACAATCCGGTGCCATTGAGTACCCCTAACGGACACCACACCAAGGAGCTGTTGGAAAGATGCTTCTCCTCATGGAGAACAATAGCATTTGTAGGCATTTTCAGTGATAACCAATGAAAGGCCATTTTCCCGTGTGGAGTTCTCTTATTCATGATGTCAGAAGACAGGCGCGCCAGTTTTCAGGGCAGACTGGATACCTCAGCCTGTATACTTGGAGAAGTAATCTGCAATCAGTATATATTTATATAAGAATTAGAAGCACTAAGATGAGTTTCTTGTGGAATTTTTTTTCTGTTACTGTCTTTGCTAGAGATGTGAAGAAACCTTGTTGACGTTCATCTGGTCAATAAAGCCTATTTTGAACCCAAGAGGCCCCTCAATGAGGCATCTCCACACCTTGGAAGATTCCTCATCTCCAGTGCAAGAGGGAGACAAGGAGATCTTCCCCCACCTGCGGGTCTCCACAATTTGTACAACACGACTCTGCACAAAACGTATGTTCTTGTTGAGATGCAAAGCCCACTCACAAGACCCTACAAGCGCAGAAGTTCCAAAAAAAACCCACAAGCAACCTATCCATGGCTTTTAGTTCTTCAAAATCTACGGAACAATGCAGTAATGACCATAGTTTTGCTCAATCATGGTGCTGTGGAATTGGGAAGATTTAGATTATTTATGTGGGCGGGGAATCGTTGCAAATGTGAAAATCCTATGAGAGACTGGTTGAAAATGCCTTACCCTTTTGTCAGTATGCCGAAAACATCTGCATTTTCTTCCTTTCATAAACAAGGTCAAGAAAAGGGGAGATTTGGATTCTTACACTGAACAAATACCTGGTCTACAGAATTCCTGGGTTGACCTTTGGGGCAGCTAATCTCCAGGAATCCCCCTATTAAGGGCATACCCTTTATCCCTGGTATAATGCTACACAACACTGTTTCACTGTGATGTGGTGGAGTTGTCTAATCCATAGCTTGCACCTACAGCTCCTATAAGCTACATCTCTCTCCGGATTAATTATATTCATGCAAAATAAACATAACATGGATTAGACTCCACCAGCTTCTGTGTTGGCACGATGACACCAAGGGCCCATCTAGCCCCTTTTTCTTCCTCCTCCTCCACAACAAAGACAAAGCAGAAGTGCTATCCATTAATTGCTCAATTAAACTGCCTTGTTATCCCCTAAAAGTTAAGGAAGTCTGTAATTAAAATGAGAGGGAACCATTCAAGCAGTGCGGATGCTCGGGCCCCCAAAGGGTACGGCAGCTGGCTGCTTGGCAACAGATCTCATTGCCTGGTTGCCGCTCTTGGAGATGTCTCCCCAAAGCCTGGGGAAATCGATTTTAGGACTACAACTTCCATCATCCCCCAGAGAGCATGGCCCCAAAGTTATTCAGTGAAAGCAATGCATTGGAGACAGACAGAGAGAGAGAGAGAGAGAGGGAAGCAGAAATTAGGAAACCTTTCATTTCATTTCATTTTGGACAATAACTTCCAGAATGCCCCAACCACCTGGTTGGAGGATACTGGAAATCGTAGTCCTCAAAATTTTGGTCTCCCTACCCCAGTGCAATGCACAGTTCTTTGTCTGAATGCACACAGGATCTGTTATTCCACTAGAAAAAGCATTTGGCTGCCTCTAGTATCAAACTTTGAGTGAAGTGGCCGCAGAGACTGGTGGCTCGTGGTGGCTCTAGTTCAGGAGGTGCTGTGAATCCACTCCTGGTTTTGCTTTGTACTTTACAGGAGTTATCCATGGTGCTAGATTGGGAAGTGGACTCAGTGCTGTCAATAGCTTTTGTGAACTGCAGATTAAAACCTGGAGTGGAGTACTAAAGGTAGTGGGGACGTGGTGGCGCTGCAGGTTAAAACGCAGAAGCTTCTGTGCTGCAAGGTCAGAAGACCAGCCATTGTAAGATTGAATCCACGTGACGGAGGGAGCCCCCGTCACTTGTCCCAGCTCTGCAGTTCCAAGACTGTTATTATTATTTAGAGACAAATCTACTGACAAATGTAAGAAAGAAAGAAATGGCACCACTGTGTGACCCTCCACATATCTCCCTCTCTCATTTTTTTCTTTAAGCCTGGACTTTGGTTACTCTGGGTTTTCAAGTAGGCTGATGTGTACGCACAACACACATGAAAACGTCTTCCTACTAAGTCGAACAGTCTTGGTGCCAGCTGAGCAGGGGAGGAGATGGGCCCCCTGGCTAGGAAGCCATGTCACACACAGGCAACACCGCTTCTCCTCTTCCACTGCCACTCACTCTTACACTTCTCTCCACATCTGGAAATATGGGACGGCCGGGCAGTTCCCTGAGACTTCAGCCAGTGGCAAGAGACTGGCCGCTCTATGACTTAGGGGGACAAGACTCCCAGTAAATACGTATGCCGCATTTGACTCATTTAGCGCTGCGGGATTATTCTTTCTCTGTTGAGAAAGGGACATTCTCCATGCAATCGGAACCCTGGCGCTGCCTTTTTACAACAGCTGGAAGGGAAGCTAGCAATGATCCATGCCCCGCCGTGCTCAGCTCCATTGGCTCCCTCCAAGGCCCTTTAGATCTGCAATCAATGCTCTGAATCAATTCATCACGCCCATTAGCCAGCTCAGGCTTGCAGCTTGAATGTTAAGATGTAGACAATCCCTTCCCGGCAATCTCTCCTGCACCTGCCGGGCCCACACTTAACAGAAGACCAACAGATTTAGCAGAGGGATGACAGGTTAATCTTTCAAGATTGTGGACCGGGTGAGATGGGGAGGCAACTGATCCTTCTCGGACTAGATGGTTAACCCATAAACAAGCCAGAGTGTTTGCTTATGGGAGAGAGGGAGGCCACTTGACTTCCCTTCCTTGCAAACAAAGGACACTGACGAACTCTTGAAGGAAGTGGGAAGAGATTAGAAAGAGCAAGTGGAGGGCACCGTCTTCATTGTCCGACTCTTCGTGACCCCATGGACCAGAGCATGCCAGGCCCTCCTGTCTTCCACTGCCTCCCAGAGTTGGGTCAAATTCATGTTGGCCGCTTTGATGACACTGTCCAACCATCTCATCCTCTGTTGTCCCCTTCTCCTCCTGCCTTCTTATTGAACAACAAATCCCAGGATGCTTTCTGGGAAACTTTGTAGGAATAGGGTCATGGCATGCATAGATCCTGCCCGGCTCAGGATCGGGTGCAGTGTTTGCAAACATGCATTAATCATCATCATCTCAGGAGTCACCACTGCCAGCCTTCCAAGATGTTAGGAAATCTGAAGAACCACTCCTGCAAAAGGCTCAGCTCCAAAACCCAGTTTACACAATGGTAGCTCTGCATTGTGGGCTCAGAATCCCACCCCTGATTGGATGAGAAAATTCAACGATGTCCTCTAATGCAGTGGTCCCCAACGTTGGGCCTCCAGATGTCCTTGGACTTCAACTCCCAGAAATCCTGGCCAGCAGAGGTGGTGGTAAAGGATTCTGGGAGTTGTCCAAGAACATCTGGAGGCCCAAGGTTGGGGATCACTGCTCTAATGCATTTGGTTGGCATGAATCAACATGAGGCTTACCTCTGTGATGATGAAAAAGTCGTCGCCTGGCTCCCCCTGAACGACAATCTTCTCCCCATCTTCAAACTGGACTGGCTCCAGAGCATCTGCGACGGTCAGACGTTCCCACTTGTCCAGGGATTCTGGAATGCAAAAGAAGTGGGATTTCAGTACATCTGTTTCACGGATTCAGCATTTGCTTCCAAAAACCTTATGGGCCTTCTTTGCAAACAGCGTCTCCTCCTATTTCAAACCCAGAGCCTGTGGATGAGAGGAATCCATTCCGAACTAGAATTCCCAGCCAGAGAGATTCTGGGACTCATCCAAGGAAAAAACTTTCCTGAGCTATGACCCTCTTTAAAAGGATGGTTAGTTCTGGACCATCTTCCTGTGCCTATAAAACACACGGTATAAGATCAAAGACTCTTCCAACATCCCTTGTTCTGTGCCATCAGGTCGGAACTGACTTACAGGGTCTTTCTAAATAAATGAGCTGTACAAGGAGTGGTTTTGCCAATTCCACATTCCCAGCGAGCTTTCCAAGTGCCCATATTAGAAATTATCAGAGAGAGGGGGTCCCTGTATACACACACAGCCCATAATAAGCAAAGGAGGGAAATATAACTCCATCAGTGGAGTTTGTGCTTCCGTCCACCTGCTTCTCGTCCCCCTTTACTATGAAAAGGTGATGGAGACAATAAGGTGGACATTTTGCTACTGGAGCCTTCATATGAGCCTGGATTACCTCACAGGGCTGTCATTTGAATAAAGTGAGGAGAAAGAGGCATGGTAGATGATGTCGTCGCAGTGATCCATTTTTGTAACCACTTCACAACAAGTCTGTGTAATATTGTGGCTCGTGTATTGAATGGAGAACTGGGAAATCTGGGTTTTAGAGTCCAGGGAGACACGAAACTCATAGGACACCCACACCCCCACACCCGGGATGCTTACTCAACCTGACCTACAGTAACGCACAGGGATGTTGTGACATCAGGCAGGAAGCCCCGTGGGCTTCCTGACTTCACTGGAGGAACATGGCGCTGTGCATATTAGGAATAAACAATATTTTTTAAAAAAACACACACCCAAAATGGAGACCTTGCTGAGAAATTCTTCATACATCTTGCGTTTCCTCAGCGTGCTGCCCTGAGGAGGGAACAGAAAGGACAGCAAATTAGGATGAACTGCCTCACAAGATCAGGTTGTACAATCATCCTGCCTAATAAGCTGGTGATGAACCTCCAGAATGTGCTTCTTTAAAGAAGTGGCTCCCCCCCACAATCCGGTGCCACTGAGTACCCCTAACGGACACCACACCAAGGAGCTGTTGGAAAGATGCTTCTCCTCATGGAGAACAATAGCATTTGTAGGCATTTTCAGTGATAACCAATGAAAGGCCATTTTCCTGTGTGGAGTTCTCTTATTCATGATGTCAGAAGACAGGCGCGCCAGTTTTCAGGGCAGACTGGATACCTCAGCCTGTATACTTGGAGAAGTAATCTGCAATCGGTATATATTTATATAAGAATTAGAAGCACTAAGATGAGTTTCTTGTGGAATTTTTTTTCTGTTACTGTCTTTGCTAGAGATGTGAAGAAACCTTGTTGACGTTCATCTGGTCAATAAAGCCTGTTTTGAACCCAAGAGGCCCCTCAATGAGGCATCTCCACACCTTGGAAGATTCCTCATCTCCAGTGCAAGAGGGAGACAAGGAGATCTTCCCCCACCTGCGGGTCTCCACAATTTGTACAACACGACTCTGCACAAAACGTATGTTCTTGTTGAGATGCAAAGCCCACTCACA